TCTTCACAATGTCAGTCTCTTTAAACTACTCAGCAGTTTTCAAATTCACCCTTGAAATACTTGAAGCAGCAGCAGAAGCTTAGACCAGCTGCTGGAATGATGAAATACTTCAAAATACTGAACAGCTTCTTCCCGTGGGAAGTCCTAACATTTTACTAAATCCAGACCTTCCTCTACTTTCCCATAGTCACTGGTTGACTATACTCTTTTATGGATCTCATGCCTTTAGGATGTTACCACTTGATACTCACATTCTCACATTTCAGAGTAAAACTACAAACTGTGTTAGGATCTCTGGTCATCCTTTTCCAGGGCAATTATCATTTTTGCTATACATAGGTTCGTTATTGTCCTGTAATTGAGTAAATGACCAGTGTTTGTATATCTGTGAAAATGCTGCTACACGTCCCACAATTGCTCATTGTCCTTGTTAATACAGGACAAGAAAATGAGCTCAAGAAAATGCAGCTTGAATTAATTTATGCTCTAGGAACTGCAAGCTGGATAACACTGTGGAACTGCTCCCTGAGGAGGAGTTTAAATAAGCCAGCCTTTATTTTGAACATTTAATTCTTCAGAGCTGTCAGACAAGAAAGCCATCTAGAATGGATACTGGTATCTCCCAGTGTTTTTCTGCAGAACTACTGTAGAGACAAAGACAGTGAAATGAATCGTTTTTGCAGGTAAAGTAGAAGGTAGCAAACAATTTGAAAATATTTTGATATGCAGTGAAAGAAAGTAGCATTCCTTCACTCTCCATCACTCAAAATTAAAGGTATCAAACCAAGTCTACTTTCTGCATAGGAAAGTCAGTTTGCAAAGGAACTAGAGTAGTATACGAAGATGAGTATTACAAAGAGGTGATCAGCTCTGAATCTATAGTCCGATACATAGATATTGGTTTTTATCAATAAAGCAGATATTCTCAAAGATAACTCATGCAGGTTTTGGAGAAATAAGGCTATCAGAGCGTGGAAATACCTTTGATTCCAGCAGCAGATATTGTTGAGGCAAGGGAGGCAGATTTTGGTCCATTAAATTACTGGGGCAACTTTAACAAATAAATATTTCTAGAATTCATGCATAGGTGCATCTCCTATCAAGTGATGTTTTTTGTACCAGTTTATTTAGCTTAACAGCACTCACTGCCTTAGTTTGCTTTCTTTGCTTCCTGCAAAAATCCATATATATCCTGAAACACCATTTTTGGAACCTGGGTGAGATTCTACAAAGTGGGTGCCATCTAAGTACTTGTGTTTATCTGTGCATAATCATATTCCCATCTCTTCTGATAATGTTTCTTCCATGCCATAGTACTGTGGCTGCTTCAAAACAAAACACCCTTTAAAGCAAAATGAACCAAGCAAGATTTTCAAAAATATATAAAATAATTGAACAAGAATAGACACACTGATTGAAATACACAACAGAAGCATTTACATTTATGTTTCAGTATATCATAACATAAGTAAAACAAACTATAAGTGAAATAAAAACCTACATGGCTGATCTTGAATCAAATTATAATTATCAACTGAATTTATTCTTGTAAAATTAAAGTAAAACACACTTGGTCAATCACATGATGAAGTGCGGGCATTCTGCCAGCTGGAGTTCTGGAAATGGCATACATACATCTAACCATATTAGCAAAAATAAACTGGTTGTTTATGATAGGTAATGATTTACCTAGTTAAGAACTCTTTATTACACTATAGAAAAAAAACCCGAAAGAACACAAAACAGAAGCTCCCTTATTCTCTGTAACCATCGGATATCAACATCCATAATTTTTCATTTCATTATTTGTTCCTCTTTCTCCTTTAATTGGTCAGATACATGAGTATTTTCAGATGGTGGAATATTATTTGTTATGTCATTCAAGTCTTATGATATCAGTTCTGCAGAATGCCTAGAAAATGAAATGCAACGTATTGCACTGAATATTAAAAATAAAATAAAATAAAATAAAATAAAATAAAATAAAATAAAATAAAATAAAATAAAATAAAATAAAATAAAATAAAATAAAATAAAATAAAATAAAATAAAATAAAATAAAATAAAATAAAATAAAATAAAATAAAATAAAATAAAATAAAAATAATCCTGCAACGAACACCACTGTTGTAACGATGTCTGCAGGGCCTGGCAGAGCGGCCATGAAAGAAGCACGTCCCGTGCGATCCCGCGGGCCCGGCGCCCCCGGGAGCGCTGCCCCCTCGGAGGGGCCGCGCTCCCGCAGCCCCCGCGGGCACTGCCCGGGTCCCGCAGCCCCTGCGCCCGGCGGCGGCGGCCGAGGGCGCTGGAAACCCGCGGCAGAGGGCCCGGCAGCGGGCAGGCACCCCGCCAAGAGGGGTGAGACACCCGGCCCTCCCTGCCGTGGATGGTGCGGCGGAGAGGGCACGTCTAGTTCACCCGGGGGAACCAGACCACGGCTCCTGGAGAGAAAGAGGTGCTGTAGGAAAAGGGGGTGCCCTACCTTGGGCCGGTCGCAGGAAGGAGGACACTTGATGGTCACAGTCGAAGCCTGGAAGAGTACTCTCACTTAGCAAAAGCTCAGAAGCAAATGATGACCCCGTGCAGTGCCCTCTCTGCCTGGGCCCTGCTCCCCAGCGAGAGGAGGGTGAGAAGCCGCCTTTCTCTCCCGTGAGCTCCGGGGACAGGGGCGCGGGAGCGACCGCCCCGACGGGGGCTCCTCCGGGCGTGTCTGAGGGGACCCCCACGGGCTCTTCTAGATGAGAACGGGAGCACAGAACCGGGGCGGCTGTGCCTGTGTGAGGGGCGGAGGGAGGGAAAACAGCCCCGACCCGGCGCCTTCTCTGTGGGCTCCCCGCGGTAGGAGAGGCGCTACCGGCAGTCACCTACCCCTGCTCCCTGAGCACTCACAATCCCTCCCCGTCCAAAGCTCCGGGCACAGGCACCTTCCCAGACGGTTACTGTTTGCCCGCCTGAATGTGGAAGGGTTTCAGGCTGGAAATAGAAACAGACGGGAAGAAAGAGTTCCCATCGTGGGGGAAAGGTGGAAGAGGTGACGGGCTCCCACGGTGTTTTCGGCGACCCGCTGCACAGGCTTGGGCCAGTCTGGAAAGCCGGGTATGAGGGACCCTGTGCAGGAGACAGATACGTGCAAACGAAAAGAAGGATGTACAGTATAGGGCAGGGAATGAATACCGATGCCGAGATAACCTCACAGCTCCTTCCCGAGCCAAACGTCTGGCCCGCGCAAGCACTGCCGAGAGAATCTCTTTCAAAAGACGATGGTATTTTGGATAAAATAGAGTAAAGCCCCTGCAAGTCAAACCGAAGGGCCGGCAGATGCTGCTGCTGCCAGGGGAAACAGACCGGAACGAACTGAAACAGCTCTGCACGTTAAAATTAAAGCTCCCGCCGCTTGCATCGGCCGCCCGGCCCACGCGTGGGAGAGAACCTGCGGGCGGCGCTCCCGGGCGGCGCTGGGCGACCGGCGCCAAGGAGCTCCGGTCCCCGTGGGCAGCGCCGTGCCGGGGCCAGCTCTGGTCCTCGAGCAGCTGCGGGAAGCCCCTTCCCAGGGGCGAGGCCACTTGGCCCGGCCAGGAGGCGACGAGATTCCCAAAACCCAGACACTTGCTGAGTGGCCTTTGCGGGGCCCACCTTTTCCTGACAGCGCTGGTAACACAGTCTCCCCTGAAAGTCCTGCCCCCACTCCACATACATATTTCCGTAATTTTTAGGTCAGGTTTTATGTTTGCACCCTAGGTGCAAACAGAGCACACTGGTGGAGCCAAGACCCTGATCCCATCTAGCTGGGTAAAGCAGAGCTCACCTCAGTCTGCAGTTTCTCCAGGTCGCACTAAAAGCTCGCCCTGAAAAAAAAATTTAAGAATCAAAGAAAGAAAAAAAGATGAAACAAACAAACAAAAAGTGTACAGAAACTGGTGCTACTCGAAACAGAGCTGGGGAAAGGTGCTGTGTAATTGGGGCCAGTGCTACTAACCTGACTTCTGAAAAACACATCATCTAGGCGCGACTGGAGAGCTCCTGGCTACTACACAGCGTCCCGCATCCTAGGAGAGTGCTTCTGTGCAAAGGGTACTGATAAATCCTGCTGGACTCGCAGAGCATCCTACATAGGGCTTCACTACATAAAGGCTCAAATGCAGGGCAAGAGCAACTACCGAAGTACCCGCTTTTTCCTGTGGCCGTGGCATCCTGACCCTCTTCTGGACTTAAGGGAGGATTTTCTCCACCAGGGCTGCACCACAGCAACCGGGCTGAAGAGAATTTCCAGCAGCGGCTGGCTCTGACTAGGGCTTGCTTATTATACGTCAAGTCGAGAGGCTCTAAGCAGATTAAGAGAGGATCCTGGCTGTGCTCTCACCTCTGGGAGCAACCTCAGGAGGGAGCTAAGCCCGCAGCCGGACAACAGGAGGCGCTGAGGCTTTGCACAACCCCCGGCTCTCCTCCCCTCCCGGGCAGCGGGCATCCCAGCCGGGGCGGCCTGGGGGCGGCCGGCCCGCAGAGCGGCTTTGCCGGCTCCACGTTTGCTCCGCCCGATGAAACGCCTCCGTGGTTTGTAGCAGCATCCGATGAGCGTGGCCGGCTTTGTGCCTGCCCTTTTTTCCAGGTACAGGGTGACCCAGCATGGGCTGCCCGGCGTCCCGTCGGGTGTTGCTCCCGCGGGGCTGGGCTCTGGAAAGCGAGGCAGCACCGCCCCGAGGTCACCCAGCGGGGGGGTGCCGGCAGCGGGGTCTCGGGGGCAGCTACACTCCTGCCAGCATGTCCGCAGGCGGCTGTGCTGCCAGGGGGGAACCATACTCCACAGATCTCAAATACTGAAATGGGCAAGCCACCACCGAAGGGTCTCTGTTTTCAGACATATACACCGCTTCCATTAGGAAAAGAATGGGGGTGCCTGCATGAAGACCGCAATCTTAATATTTCTTAGGTATTCTACTGAGGTTTGTCCCAATTTCCATGAGTGTAGCTTGACCACTTGAGAAAACAGGGGTCTAATCCACTGCTTTTATATATTTTATTTCCTTCAAGACATATTTTCATATGCTGCTCTCCTCTGCTGATTCTAGTTTTGTTTGTTTCGAGGATTTGACTTAATTCTGTTGCCAGATTAAAAAAAAAAAAAATTATGAGGAGAGAAAGAACAAAGAAAGGGGTAAGAGAAAATGCATTTAGAGAACAAGTTAAAACGTATTTGTCATGGCAGAGATATGCTATATCTCACCATTTGAATCCTGTGTCTCTATAAGAAACTTTGAAATCCTGTTTCTGGGGCTGACATTTCCACAGATCACACGAGAACAAATCACTGTGGAAGCAACTGTGACCATGCTGAATGATAAACACATCAAGCTGAAATTCAGACCCAGGTGTGTATTATAGTTTGTGTGGTATGATGTGCAAGCCTTTTTCAGAATCCCAAGAAGCTTTATTTCCCTTTCAAATTCCCACTGTTGGAAAAGTTGTTTGGGTTTGGGGGGGCAGGGTTATTAGCTGCTGGTTGGTGATGTAGATTTTTTTTTGTTTGTTTTGACTTTTTGGTTTTTGTTTTCTACTGTGAGATGATAAAAGTTCTAGTAGCTAGGTGAGAACGAACTCACAAGGGATAGGATAGAGAAACCTAAGAGAAGTCCGTGGTGTTGACACAGGCTCGAAGAGCCGGACAGGACAGAAAATGTTTGATCCCTCTGCAAAGACTGAGAGATTCCTCCCGTAGTAATAAAAAGCTTTTTCCAATGTCAGTTTGTTTTATTGGTGTTTTTTGCCTTTTACCAGCCTGTGTAGAATCCTCCTCCCCAGTTCGTTGTGAGAAATCAGGTCAGTAAGGAAGAAGTTGGAAAGGAGATATACCCGCTACCTATTATTGCTGCTCCTGGGCGTCTGGAATCAGAGAAAGCTTCCAAATGAGCCTTCTGGGCTGAAGGCTTTCCACAGTAATGATATAAAATGGTTCTAGTGACTCACCTGATGTTTGCCAAGTGGAGGTTAATATCAGTGGATCCGCATTCAGGCCTCTGTCCGTATTTATTTGGAACCTGTAGTATTATGTCTCAGCACGGTGACTCACATGGTTTCTGGACATAAGGCATCCGAAAGAGCAATATAATTATCACCATCTACATAGGAGGGCACCCCGTTTGAAGGGCTGTTTTAGTCCGGAGGAGGAGGAGGGTGGGGTGGGGGGAGGGTTGGGAGGGCTTTGGGGGTCTCGGAGCCGAACCTCCTGCTCACAGCCCGGAGCGCCTAATCCGATCCCCTGCCCCGAGGGCGATGGGAACGTGGGGCGCCGCGGCAGGGCCTGGAGGTACCTACGCGATAACCAGCTGTGAAGTGACGAGCGGGAGACGGGGGAACCTGTGGACTTCAGGACTCGGGACTTTGAAGCACGTCTCGGCCATCAAGTTAAAGGAGCATCTACCGGCCTTTAGTAAATATTGCCTCTAATCTCAGGGGTTTAAGGCTGGATGGCCTTTTGCGTTCTCTTCAAATAGAGGGGGCTGCCCTTCCTTCATCTACCTCATTTCATTTCCCCCTATCCCTCCTAGCATTTGTCCTGTCCACCTGAAAGGGTGGTCGTGCCCGTCCCCCGTCCCATCCCGTCCCGCCCCCCGCCCCCCTCTGTCCCCCTCTCCCACCTCTGTCTCTCCTTCTTTCCCCACAAGCTTAAACCAATTACGCAGCTTTGCAAATAAAGTGCCGCCCCGGGGGGAGTTGCAGGCGAGGGGGACTGCCTTGTTTGCAGGTGCATCTTCGGCTTTGTAGGTGCGAACGCCTTTGTGCGGCGGACAAATGGGGAGAGGAGGAGGAGGAGGTGGGTACTTCTGCGACGTAAGATCCACATCAGCTCAACTCCACTCACATCCCAGCCGCACTTCCTCACTTTCTCAACTGTCTCGCCCCACACCGCTCCCTGCCTCCTTTTTGGCTGGTTATAGAGCAGAATTCAGCACCCCTCGCCCCTCCTGAGAGCTGGCTTCCTGCTAGGTCGGGCTTTCGGGCTCTTTTCCTACTGCCCGTCGCTCGCTTGCAAGAAGGCTGGATGGTTACACCGGGCAGGTTGGCTCCATAATGTTAGGGACTGTGAAAATGGAAGGGCATGAAACCAGCGACTGGAACAGCTACTACGCCGACACTCAGGAGGTGAGTAAATCCCAGGATCTGGCTTCTCTGCTGCCCCTGTGCAGGGGAGGGGAGGACCTGGGGGTGGCTAGGGGTCTGGAGGGGGCAGCAATCGGAGTAATCGGTTTGCAGTCCAGATCCTGCCAACGCAAACGTACCTCCCCCTCCCTCCGGCGCCGAAACTGGCTAGGCTTCCCCAAGGAAAACACAGTTTCCAGGAGCCCTGGAGGCGTTTGGGGAAGACACGGGGCGGCTGTGAGCCCGCTAAGAGGGCCGGGGGGCCGGGGACAGCCCTTGATCTCATCTAAGAGGCGTAATATTCTCTCGCGGCGGGCACAAAAGCACCCCGTAAACTCTTGGCTCGGGCCAGGGCGCTCGGCGCGCCGCCGGCACCCGAGTCCTTCCCGGCAGATGGCAGGGGCCGAGGGAGACAGACGCCAGCGCGTCCTGGCCGGGGGCAGCGCCTTCCCCGAGCTTCTCGGCGGGACCTCCGGCCTCTCTACTCTCCAGCGCCGGGCCCTCACCTGTTAAGGCCGAGGGAAAGGAAAGGAGGGGGAAGACCAGCCGTTTGTCCGCACTTTGCGGACGGGCTGCCCGCGGCGTGCGCTGCTGCCGCGGGCCGGCTGGCGGCGCTGCCGAGAGCCGGGCCGGGAGGGGGCCCGCACCCGGACCCGCCGCCCCCCACCCGGACCCGGACCCGGTCCGGACCGCCGCAGGCGCTTCCGCCCCCCGCGCCCCTCTGACAGCGATGTCCGTAAGGTGGAGGAGAGCCGGCCCAAGCGCCCACAACTGCGGCGGAGGAGAGGGCCTCGGCAGAGCCCGAAGCGCACCCCCGGCGCGCCTCGGCCCTGTGGGGCCTGGGGTCCGCGCTGTGCCGCTGGGGCTCCGCAACGGGGGTCCCGGAGAAGCCAGCGCGGGGCAGCGCGGCCAGCAGCACTGCGGATTCCCGCCCTGGAAGGAGCCGTTTTGAGGAAGTGCGGCAGCGAGGCAGGCACCTGGGTGTGCGCACCCGGGCATTGCATCAGCATACCCGGACACACGGCTCCACAGTCCCCACGCCTCGTCCCGCACCCGGAGCTGGCACACGCGCCCACAGGGCCACGCGGACAGAGGCCGATACGTGTCACCCGGCTGGCATCTCCTTTAATAAAGGAAAGTCGGCTAAGGGCAAACAAGGGTCATCCTAATTACGTGCCATTTCCAGACTCATATTTCCTCGCTTATACGCATTGTCCACAAACATAAAGTTAAGGGAAGTTCGCTTTTGCTATTTTTTTAAACTTCAGTCTTTCCTCACCTCTTGCCATTTAATTTGAATAACTGCATGAATGCAACAGGGAAACCCAGCTGCGTTCTACCATCTCAAATATTTAATGTGATCCTTTAAATCAAAAGTGCGTTTATAAATTCGTGAAATTTGTTGGGATCAGAAATGAATTTTAAATATTTAACCGTTGCTTAAACCTCTTTTTCTTAGCCATATTAGCCGTATTAGTTAGAGTAAACTGGGAGCGTCTTTCTCTCTCCTGTTAAATCATATACCGCAGTGGAAAGCACAAATTCAAGCTCTCCGGCTCTGCCCTTTTAAGAGTAATGTGTTAGGGTGCTTCAACTTTTTCCACGTCGTGCAATTGTAGAAAATCTCAAAGAGGAGAAGTTCAGGCTTTTCCTACTTTAGGAAAGTTTTGCTGTTTGATTGGTTAGTTGATTTTTTTTTTAAAACTTTAATTTAAAGACTATTTTGAAAGAAGATGTAGACAGAGGGAAGCTTTCCACAAATAAAACAGGCCAAAAAGACCTGTTTCGTTTGGATGAGGGTTTTTTAAATTATTTTGCAAGAAGATATTATTCCATCTTGTATGTTTTTTAGAGAAGAAATTTAAATTATTGCAGGAAGGGAGACGTGCGTGAGATTTTTCTCTGAAAATACAAGCAAACAATGTACACCCACCAATTTCAATAATCTGATGAGTTTAAGTATTTAACTAGAGAGACAGGGCACATAAACAACAAAATACGGGAATGCCCTGGAGAGGACACGTCCTGCCGGGGCAGTCTGAGCCCGCAGCCCGGCTCCGCGAGGGCTTGGAGCGGCTCAGGGCAGACGCTCGGTCCGTGCGCCCCGCTGAACCCGGTGCAGCCCGCGCAAGCTGCGACACGCCGGTAAACCGGGAGTGCGTCCGGAGAGAGCACCCCCGCTCCGTGTTTATTTATACATTTATGTAGATACGAAATAGACCTTTTCATGGAAGCAGCTGCCTTTCCGTGCTGCTTTGGGGAAGCGTTTTCCCCTGTGTCGGGGAAGCGGCCGGCGTCCCGCAGCAGGACGTTTGCACGGCTGGCTGGGCCAGGCGGGCGGATCCGGCCCCTACGGGGTCCTGCCACACCTCTCTCCTCTCTAACTCCGTCTCTTTGTCTCGCTGCCCTAGGCCTATTCCTCGGTGCCCGTGAGCAACATGAACTCGGGGCTGGGCTCCATGAACACCATGAACACCTACATGACCATGAACACCATGACGACAAGCGGCAACATGACCTCCAGCTCCTTCAACATGTCCTACGCCAACACGGGGCTGGGGGCTGGGCTGAGTCCCGGCGCCGTGGCCGGCATGCCGGCAGGCTCGGCGGGGCCCGTGAACGGCATGCCGGCCGGCGTAGCCGCCATGGGCACGGCGCTGAGCCCCGGTGGCATCAATGCCATGTCTGCCCAGCCGGCCCCCATGAACGGGCTGAGCCCCTACGGCAGCATGAACCCCTGCATGAGCCCCATGGCCTACACCCAGTCCAACCTCGGCAGGACACGGGACGCTAAGTCCTTCAAGCGGACTTACCCCCACGCCAAGCCGCCCTACTCCTACATCTCCCTCATCACCATGGCCATCCAGCAGGCACCCAGCAAGATGCTGACGCTGAGTGAGATCTACCAGTGGATCATGGACCTTTTCCCCTACTACCGACAGAACCAGCAGCGCTGGCAGAACAGCATCCGCCACTCGCTCTCTTTCAATGACTGTTTTGTCAAGGTGGCCCGGTCCCCCGACAAGCCCGGCAAGGGCTCCTACTGGACCCTGCACCCCGACTCCGGCAATATGTTTGAAAACGGCTGTTACCTCCGCCGGCAAAAGCGCTTCAAGTGCGAGAAGCCGGCGAACAGTAAAGCCACTCAGGAGGGCAGGAAAGATCAGGCCGGGGCCTCTAATTCAAGCTCCAACTCCCCCCTGCACAGAGGCCACAACAAACCTGCACAGCTGGATACAGCCACCTCTCTCTCCAGCTCCAACCCGTCCACCAGCCCTCAGTCTATGGACCACAGTGGATCAAGCACGGAGCTAAAGACCTCGGCCTCGGCCGCCTCCTCCACCATCAGCTCTGTACCAACTTTGGCCTCCGTCCCACACCCCCCTCACTCATTAGCCCACGAACCCCAGCTCCACCTCAAGGGTGATCCCCACTACTCCTTCAACCACCCGTTTTCCATCAACAACCTCATGTCCTCCTCGGAGCAGCAGCACAAGCTGGACTTCAAAGCCTACGAGCAGGCGCTGCAATATTCCTCCTACGGGGCCAGCATCCCCGGCGGGCTGCCCCTTGGCAGCGCCTCCATGGCTGGCCGGAGCAGCATCGAGCCCTCGGCCCTAGAGCCCTCCTACTACCAAGGTGTGTATTCCAGACCCGTGCTAAACACCTCCTAGCTGTGCAACCCCCGCCGCCGGGGCCGAGACCCCTCCTCCCCTTCCTGGCTTCTCTCCCGCTTTCCCTGAGACAGACCAAGGTGTTTCCGCACGCTGCGTGCAAAGGACTGTTACTTTTTAATTGTCTTGCAACGCGTTGTCTGTTGTTATGATCCACCACGACCTCCTGCAAAGCCGGCCGTGTCCCACTTGTACATACTCCCTCCGGCCCCTGCTGCCCAGCCCCTCTCCCCGGAGACCTCCCCAGCCTATGCAGGGTGTTATTAAA